CTTTCATTCATGTCGAGGATGACCTAGACCTCAACAGCGATCGACTTTTGGCAAACAGGGCCAAGCGGAAGACGATTTTCCCAGGAGGCACACCGGAAACTACGGCCAAGCGGTCGAACCGGGAGCCTCTTGATCCTTACACACTTATAATAGACGGCAAGCTGGATATCTTGCGACCGAGTCTCAAAGACGTAATGGAACTCGAGGACCATTACAACTATTTAGGGACGGCAAAAGATCTAAACGTCAAGGAGCTTCAGAGAACGTTCTTCAGAACCGGGGTGTTGCAGATCGTGTCGGCCAGGTCTCGGCCTGATGCTTTCCGCGATGACAAGGGCTCCAGCAACCCGGCCGAGGCGGCCCAGGGCGTTGTTGACATCAAGATCACCAAGGTCGGGCTCCTGTGGCGCAAAGATGTCAAGAAGAAGAAGACGAGGTCACCGTGGCAGGAATGGGGAGCCATTCTCACAGGCGCTCAACTCTACTTTTTCCGCAACACCACTTGGATTAAAAACCTAATGCACCAGTACGAGTCTCACGTCAAGCAGGGTTTCGATGGTGAGCCAATCACCTTCAAGCCACCTCTTCCGGAGTTCAAACCAGATGGGTATCTGCCGACTAAGGAAGCTGTTGCGCTCGTCGATTCCACCTATAAGAAGCATAAGAACGCCTTCAAATATTCTCAGCCCAGCGGTTATGTGGAGGAAGTTCTCCTAGCCGATAATGAGGAAGAGATGAATGATTGGCTAGCCAAGCTGAACTATGCGGCGGCTTTTACGACGTCAGGCGTTCGCATGAGGGGCGTCGTGGGAGGCAATTACGAGGGTCAAAGTCGGCGCGGCATTAGGAGACTCGGCAGTTCGGCCTCTGCTCAAGTAATTCAGACTCCAACAGGCGATGTAAGCATTGTTAGAGGCAAGATTGACCACAAAGAGGCCGAGTCCATCCAGGCGCAGCGACGGCAAACTATGATGGACGCAGTCGCCAAAGGCGATGAAGAAATTGCTCTGAAGGAGCAAGAATTAGAAGGACATTTGAGGAACGCCCGGCACCTTCAGATTCTATCGCCTATTCAGGGCAAAACCAGAGATCAGATCCTATCAGCTGCAGCTCACATGGATGTCAAGATCAAGTGGACTCGCATGGACATGTGGAAATCAATGTGTCATCGGGATGTTCTGTTGAAGGATCTAGCTGAGGAGCAGAGTCTTCGGGGTCTTACTCCTACCACAACTCAAAACGGCCGAGAGCCTCGTGAGACATCACCCTCTCCCAAAGAAAGGCCCTCTATTCTCGACGCCGTGTCGGCAAATAGCGTGGCACGCAGGCGCAGGCGATCATCCGCTGCGGTCTCAACAATTCAACCTTCGAAGACTCCGCAGGCAGAGCCCGACTCTCCCGTCACTGAAGCTTATCAAACCCCGCCTACCAGTGCTACTTTCAGCCCACACAAGCATCAAAATTCATGGGACTCAAAGGTTTCCAAGTCGGCGGAGCGTGTCCAGCCTCAGAGACCTGGTTCCAGCTCCAGCCAGTCATCTGGCGAGCCGACCTTCTACAGCCCGCAACAGCATTCAACGCAGAAGAGAGGCAAGGCCGCCGAACAGTCTGCAGACAATGACCGACATGACGACGTCGATGCAAACGAGCGGGCTCTACTACAGCAAGCCGGTCTGCTCGAGTCGGGTTCTCGCGGGCGAATCCCCCCGGAACGGAAGCGGACGGGATCTTTCTCTGAACCTGGAGATGCCTCGGAGTCGCGAGATACGCCTGGCTCAATCGATAAACAAGACAAGACCAAGATCCGGCGAAGCCTCCAACGCACACTCAGAGAAAGTGCTGGCCATCTTTCACACCACCGCAGCAGAAAGGGCAAGGAAATCATCTCCGGCAGCGGCGCGGATGACACTAGCCGTGAGGACGTGCTCACCAGGGGTTCCGGCAGTTTTGTGGTACACGGAAAGAAGGCGTCCGTTATCAATTTCGGCTCCGAGCTACAGCAACTCACACCGGAGGAGCGTATGAAGCAGCGAAAGCAAGACGAACCCGCATCCCCCATCAGTGTCGCAGAAGACTACCACGACGCTCTGAATGATTCGCTGGAACCCACAGAAAGAAGAGAATCAGCCGCCAGCGCCAGCACTGCCACGGCCAGGAGCTTCCGTGAACTTCATCGCAAGTATTCTTCAGCACACGCATCCAAAGCACCCGCCTTCGGCGGGCACCTCTCGGTGCCATCCGATGGCGAGAGCGAGGCAGCAGTCAGTTTCTCCGAGGGAAGAAGGACACCGCTTCCTCCAATCGAGAATGAGTCCGGAGATGAAGAAGAGAACGAGGCGGCTGTGAGCAGTCCGCAAATCGTCAGCCCACAGCCCATACCCAGCGCTCAGCTGATCATAAGTCCAAAGCCCATCTCTGCTGCTCTGGCAACTCCACTAGCAACCCCGTCCGAGCCTTCGACGCCCTTGGAACCCCAGATGGAGGAGAAGGAGGAGGAAGACGAGAGGGGTGCTGAGATGCAACGGCTGCCTAGCCCCCCTGTGCAAGCAGTCAAGGCCTAGCTAGGTCTCACAATCTAGAGGGAGAGGCAGAACTTCCAAAGGCAACTTTTTATGTTGAAGAATACCATGCCGACATTGTAGAACTAGTTGACATCGGATGATGCGAATCTGGGGATGAGTCAGGAGAAAACAAAAGATACCAGCGAGCGAGAAAAAGGGTAGCTAGTGATTTGATAGAGAGGGACGAGCAGGAAGTGGCCATAGGAAAGACAGCATCATCATAAAAGGATGCGCAGGGAGGGGCCGGCAGCGCGCTCCTTGGCTGTCACTCAAAATTGCTTCTTTCTACTGTCAACAACCATGCTCCGATGAAGTGGCGAAGTGTAACCGATCTAGAGCGGTAGGTGTGTACCGTGGGTGGCTTCATGGGTGAGTGGTGGAAGGATTCTAGACTTTGGCCCCGTAATCGACCGTTACAATGTTGGCCTCAGATACAGAAAGATGTATATGGTAGAGTAGAGCGCCTAAACAATCACACAAGACCCCTTCTTCCCCAATAGCCTTTTGCCAGTAACCTCTCAAACTCGACTCGTATTCGTAGATGCTTGATCGTGAAAGGATCAGTAATAGACTTTCTTATTTTGGTACTGCAGCCATGGGAGGATAAGCATGGCCTTCAGCATGTTCTTAATAGAGGGGCTACTGAGGCCTAATGCAACTTTTCTCATTTCTTGCCCTTCTTCTTCTTCTTGTTAGACGACGTCGTCGGCGCCTTTTCGACTTTGACCGATCCTGCGCCACCGGCCAACTCCAACGTCTCCTCCTCCTTGACGAAGCCACCTTGTGTTGCCTCCTGGGCCTTCTTCTTGCCCTTTTTACCCTTGGGACGGTACGAGGATCGGTCGCGGAGGGGCAGCCAGCGCTCAGGATCCATCTTCTTGCCTTCAACATAGTCCTTGGGCAGCTTTCTTCTTCTCTTCTTCTTGTTGCTTGCGTCGGCGGGCTGATCGAGGCGGCGCTTCTTGGCCTGGCTGGCTGCCGGCGCAGTGGTAGCGACGCCATTGCTGACGAGCTCGTCGACGTTGACCCCCTGGAGGAGGTCGTCAATGGGAGGCAGACCAGCGAGGTGAGGTGTCACCTTTGCTCTGTCTGATGTGGCGAAGGATGCCACGAGGCCAGCGGCGGCAATAGGGTCCGCAGTAGGCTTTTGGCAGAGCTTCTCGAACGCAGCACCAGCAGCTGCAAGGTCCGTGGGCTCAGACGACTTGAGGAGCTCCGAACCGGCGCCACGGAGGAGAGAGTCGACGTGGCGACCATCATGCTTCTCCCAGAAGGACGATGCCTTTGCTAGCTCTGATCGTATGTTGCTGTGGCGGCCCTGTTGTCTATAGAGAGAGACAGTTAGGGCAACCAGACCGGGAGAGAAGCGCACTTCTGATGGTCCATGCTCCTCCAGATTCTGCAGGAAGCGCTCAAGGACGGACAACGCAGCACCGGGGTTGTTCGCTGTGAGGTAGAGCTGTATTATGGTGAGGAGCAGACCGACATCTGTGGGGCGCTTCTCAATCAAGGGAAGAACCTCTTTTACTTCAACCGCCTTGGAGCGACGCAAAGCAAAGGCTGTGGCATTGATGGCCGAAAGACCGTTTGTGTCGACAGACACTGTTGGCGAAGCCTTTGCAAGTGCCTTTGACGACTTTTCATACACACCATCAAACTTTTGAGCTTGCAGGCCAAGAATGTACTTGTTCTGCTTCAACTGGCTTTCTTGATACTTGAAAAGCTTCGCCTGCTTGCTGAGGGTTGCTGCGGTGTCGAACTTGCGCTGGGCCAGATATGGGTTGTCTACTTCAGTCGCAAGAGCTGAGGTGTTGTTCAGCGCAATCAGTCGAGACTCGGCATCAGAGTCCCTGGGTAAAGTCGGTCAGCAAAACCCACCTGTAGAAAGAATTTTGGGCCAACCTACTCTGAAATGGATAGTCGCTTCTGGATCGCGAGAGCTTCCTCGGTCTTGCCTAATCTGGTGTAGACATATACCTGCTGGACCATGATGGGAGTCATCTCAGCCTTCTTATCGTCTTCGGAGAGCTCTTCGGAGTCATCACAAAGTCGCAGTGCTTTCTGGAGAAGTTTCGTGGCTTCGGAGAGCTCGCCGCGAGCAATCATACCACAGGCAATGTTGTAGGCAAGTTCGAAGGTGTCGGCATCCTCGGCGGCGGGAATAGGCGTGTCTTCGCCGTCGAGGCTGTTGGAAACCTTCCATTCCAGCTGAGCAGCGGACGCCAACTGGTTGATCTTGAGGTCGCTCTCCTCTCCTTGTTCATCCTCCAACAGGCTGCTGTAGACATCGAGCGCGTCCTTGAAGTCTTCGGCTCGGTAGGCCACCTGAGCAACCAGGTGGCGGAAGCTTCGCTGGGGTTTGGAATTGGCGACCTCGCGAGCCTCTTGCAGCTTTCCCGTCTTGTAAAGTGCATAGGCCTTTTCCAGAAGACTAGCGTCCTCGAGTTTGTCGCCGCCGTCGGCAATCGCACGGAGGGCGTCGTCGAAGCGGTCGAGTTTGAGGAGGGCCACAACGCGGGTGCGTTGAGCAACGATGTCAGTCTTGGAGGCTTTCAGAGAAGCATTGGCGGCCTTGAGGACCTCTTCATGGTCTTCGATAGAAGCTGCGCGCAGCAGGGCGCTAAGGTTCGCGGCGGGATCTGAAGGCATCGTGAGGTGAGGGGCGGCGTCGGCAGCGAGGAATGTGTGGTGATGATTTAGTAGGGGCGGTGCTGCATGTTCTGCCACTCCTCCGTAGCTTTAATCGACCGTCCAATGGCGATAGACTCCAGGCGACAGCCAGCGATTGAGTTGAGGTGTTCGGCCGTCGTTCTAGGCGTCGTCGTGTGAGCACGTTGCGACAGGCGATATCGAGTTGAAGACACGCTTGGGCCCATTCGAGGGTGGATGGGGAATCGACGTCGATGTGGATGGTGGGGCAGAGCCAGTGACGTTCAGCGCTGTCAGCTCAGGTGTTCCACTTGTAGCCCTCCGCACAGATTGCGTGCGTTTGTACTCGAGAGTACTTTTGGGTTTGGATTGCCCTGAAAGCTGCTGGCTTTCTTTACTTTGTTTTTATTTTCTCTTTCCAAATGGTTTTTTCCCAACAGCACGGGTAGTATGAACCCCTCCCGACAGCTATATGAGGTTTGGCCGGGTGAAATAAACAATAAGGTACTACTAGACTCAAAGTCACACAACCTTGCCGTTTCTGATTCGTGTATCCATGTATGATACCCCGGGTGTGTGCGGCTTTGGTCGAGGATTTCCTCTCATCATCAATATGTAGATTATTACTTCTTCCCCGCGGTTGGATCGCAATGCAAAGCCCCTCGCCTAAAACCTGTGTGCTATTTTAGATACTCATATCTGGCCTTCCTATCCGCCTAGATCAGCGTGATAGTTTGCGTATATAGTTATTCTCATAAACCATGTCTCATCATATTGTTCCCCGTTATAGCTGCCCGGTTTGGATTTTATGTTACTGCATCATACGTTTCTGTGCCTTGTGCCTTGTGCAGACTCCATTCTGTGGCTCCCAGGATTGATGAGCAGAGTAAACGCCGTTCATAAAGATGCGAGTTCATCATCACCCAAAAAGCCCCCACAGCCTTTTGCGTTTGACCTCTGGCTGATGGTAAGGCCTCAACGGGTATGTTGGCGCAACACTAAACTGATCCGTCGATGCCGGTTTTTCCGACGGCCTTCGTCGCAGCTTGTTGGGGGCAATCTCGCCAAGCTTGGTGCTGCCTGATGACATCGTTGCCATGGACATACGTTTCTCGGCTTTGAGGTGCTGTATATAGGCAGGTTCTCCAGGTTTGGTCTCTGTTTCGGGCGCCTCCGCGGCAGCCTTGAGAAGTTTGCGCTCCGAGGCTTCCTTATCCTTCAACTTGGACTTGCTGTCTGCCGCAAGTATCCTCTTCGGGTGCTTGTTCCTCTTACTTGGCCCAGAAGAGCTAGACTTCAAGGATGGGGTGCTAAGTCTCCGTGACAGGTCATTGATCGCTTTGACAGCATCGACACGTGATGAGTTGGACAGAGTCTTTAGTGACTGGTAGTCAATGAGCGGGTTCTGGCCTCTGGTCATGAGATGAAGCAAGTTCGTCGTGGCCGATGTAAGACGCTTAATCACTCTTCGCACAGAAGATCGAGCCACGGCTGTTGTGGTATATTAGTGTACGGGTTTGAAAAGTCGCTACACGCAGAAATACGCACCGTCGCCCTTTTCAAGATGACTCCCGGCCACGGACAGCTTCGAAGAGTATACACTTCGGACCTTGGACCTGTCAGAGCGAATGCTCCTTCGAAGTTGGCGAGGCTGCTTGTTGTTACGAGCTCCCTTCAGGCCCTTCAGGAGAGACAGACACTTGGAATATGTCTCCAGAAGTGAGTCGATGGTGTCGCCAAAACAGGCCATTTTGGGATCGTGATTTCCGACCAAGTCAGCCTTATTCTGTGTTCAATCTGCAGATGAAGATGAGTGCTGCATTTCGGATGTTTCTGCATCCAACTCATCTCCTAAAGATCTTGATGAGGGGAGTCCAGACATTTGTGACAACGGACGAGGCTGGGCTATTGGTGGGAGGCGCGCTGCTGGGAACCAGGGAAAACGAAGCATTTTGGTTGGTCCTGTAACCGCCGTACCAAGCAATCCTGGTACATCATCGGCGGATTGTCCGGCAATGCTGAGGGATTGCTCGAAGGAATACTCACATTCCTGTTGTCAACTCCGGTGAAAACGTCCACGGCACATGGGGGAGAAGTCATCGAGTTCCAAGGATGGGAATGTGGGAGGAGACCAAAAAATGCCACAGGCTTGAATCCTGCCGACGCTATCATCACGATATTGCTGACACGCACAAAATCCTTAGTTGCCTGTAGGGACACAAGTAAGTGCAATCGGCAGGTACCTCGACAGAGGAAAAATGCCTCTCTGTCAAAGTTGAATCCTTTGAGGAGTAGCCCATCGTGGACGGCAATACGCAGCTAGCCTGTCGATCCTATGGCATAACCTCAGCTTGGAGTTTGGTTAGGAATGCAACTCTTAAACGGCAACAGGTGCAACGCGCATTTTGACCAGCAAAGCAATGACATTGACCCGTCTTGAGGTGTGCATATAATGGGGTTCAGCAGCCTGCCGCAGGTCTTAGTTGCCGGGAAGGAGACATAGCGTTTGTATTCGGTCTGTCGCTCTGCTCGAAGCTTCGAGCTACTTATTATCGAAGAAAGTCAGCTCGTTCGCAAATTGTCAAACGTCTGATTCGGGTTGGCATATGTCAAATGCATGTGGTTTGAGCTTGCCACGCGTGCCTGCCACGCTCACCATCCTTGCCTCGACGACATGGAGGATGGGCGGCCTCGCTCAGCGCCGCGGCTGTGAGTTAATCGAGCATATCGGGTTCGCATCCGTTATCCGCCGGTAGAAGCGTTGAATCGTTGATAAGGCAGATGGGACCAGGTACCAAAGCAGGGCTTTCCAAATCCAGGGTTGCCAGAGCCGACAAGGGTCAGTCTGGGAATGGGCCATGAAAATAAGGGAGTTGGCGCGTTGGGTTCGAATAAAGGTCGGGATCGGATGGCGTTCCCGCAAGGAAGCCAGTCGCCATGGTAGACAGTGGACCAATGGCATGCTCGGGAGGTCTCACCGAGTCTCGCGATTGTGTCCAGTCTTCGGTGAAATACATTGTACCTTGAAGAATAAGGTCAAGTTGTATTGATATTCATCATTTAACTTTGCGAAAGCAGCAGGACGTGACGTCGGCAGCTCGAGGCGGTCGGTCTCGTTGATCTGGACGAAACTAAGGTAGAGATGCAGATAGCGGCCTACCTCACCGATGCACACTTTCATGCTCCGGTCTGCTGTGCACCCCTGGGTTATCTTCACAGAATCAGATGCCGCCAATCGCCTTGCTATGTTCGTATGAAGTGCACAGCACGGATGGCGGGGCGATGCATCGTCGCAATACTGGTGTCTCATTGTCCCATGGCCTAGGTAGGTGGGAACGTTGTTCGTGAGCTCAGACGAAGGGGAAGATGTCTCGAAAGCAACAGAGACATGGGTATCAGTACGGAGTACTCTGTACCCAGAGGAAGAGTCGTCTCAATCTGCGCATGCGAGGCTGTGATACAGGTACCTAAGGTATCGCAGGGTCCCTATCTAGCGTCAACCTGGATGGCCGAAAGTCGGCGGCAATGCCATCTTGATGGGAAGGAAATAACGCAGCGAAGTAAGGACTCAAGACTCAGGATAGACTCGACTACTGAGCGATTTCGGTCCATCAGGTGTCGAGTGCGAGAATTCCACGTCCGAACCGGCCGACTGCAATCGGACCCCTGCCCACCAGCGCCCGCAGCCGTTCCATCCTCTCACGGGTGGTTGACGTGGAAGGGGCACAAGACATGATTGCACATGTGAAATAATTGGCACCCACGGATACCGGTACCCAACAGCAGCAAAGGTTCATATCAGTCAGAGAGTGCAAGGTGAGGTACTCTGCACGCAATCTGACAATGAGTAGGTACAGAGCATCGAGCAGGCACACATGGAGGATATCTGCGTCTTCCATTGGGTTGGTAAGACTTTGATGGTTGCAGTGCGTCTTATCTGGTTGGTCCCCCACATGGACCACTCAGAGGCTGTCTCTCGAGCATCTGACGGGCGCACATGGGTGGGCGCCGACGGGAGAGCGTGGGAGGGCTCTTGCTTTTCCTTGGATGCTTGCCTGCCTTTGGTATCCGTACCTTGACGAAACCAGGAATAACCGTCTTGCACCACATGGCAACCGTCTGGCGCGAGTGAAGATGTCGGTATGATGGCGGCGAATTGCGTGCGGGCTGCGGGCGTCGGGTGAGGTCAAGGCCAACGTTGATATCTTGCTTTCCTTATTACTCTCTCTCTCTCTGTCTCTCAATTTTACACCACGATCGATAAGAACTCCTTCTAGTCACACATGTACGGTATTGCAAGATGTGCGCAACGACTTGCCACCGTGTCGCTGGTGTTGATGGTTTGGCCGTGAGGTGTTTGGGGATTCCATTTGGTTGAGCTGATTGATAACCTGAACTGTCATGTTGAAAAACGGCGCGGCATGCCACGGCTGGTGTGGGATTCCTGCCTATTATCTTACCTACCTACGGTACGGGCAGTAGTTTCCATAAGTATCTCTCCTGGTGGGAAGTACTTGAATTTGCAAGTGTCTCCTAGCCAAATAGTTTGTATCTTTTGATTGGCTTTCTAGGGGAACGGCTAGTGCGAGTGGAATGAAGGTACCCGTGGACCTAGGTAGGTTAGGTAAGGAAGCCCCCAACCTTTATGTTTCCCCTGCGAATGAAATCATACCCTCGGCCCCTCCCCCTCCCCCCCCGGTCCCCCCAGTGGTCCCCCTCACCCCCAATCCCGCGCGAATAGTCCACTTTCCCGCCTGCCGCTTCCCGCTTCCCCGTGAGATGTAGTAGTATTAGTGTACTACGTATTCGTAGGAACGGAGTATCCGCACACTCATAGTCTCATACTGAGGTAGAAGCTAAGGTAGAATAAGGTAGATGGGCAGTGGCGGTCAAAAGAGAACGATAGGAAAGGACAACGACAGAGAAACTTGGGAGCAGACGGGAACTACGAATGTTACCAATGCTCTTTTAGCTACCTTACCTCAATAGCAGCCATGCATCTCAGGTACGCCGTACGGGCAGCCGGAACCTACCTAATGGAAGGTACTTTACCTACCTTAATCAGGCCAGCCTCGCCCTTTCGCACTTTGCGACGAACCCCAATTCCCTCATTCTTCCTGGCCCTGACGAATCCGGCCCTCGAATCATCGACGGATATCTGCCATGGCCCCGTCTGCACTGCAATGCGCGCTGCATCGCGCCCATCCCTCCCTACGGAATTAGACCTCACCTCGCCATCCTCACCACGCAAGCGACCCTGATTTTTCTCTTTTTATTCTGTCGTCAAGTCTCTTGTGTTTGCTCTCTTCCCAAGCCTCTTTTGCACGCCGGGGAATCCCACACACACCCCGGTCCACACTGTGCCGTAAGAGTGAACGGATGGATATTCAAAGGAACATCCGTAGGTGCTGCAAAACTTGACAACCCGCTCCCCTTCTCGGCTTCTCTTCCCTAGACTCCCCCCCCTGTCACCCTGCGGCCTGCCCACCCCCCCTTGCCCCTTCGACACGACACGCCTTTTTATCTCCATCCAATGCCACTTCCTTTCCGCTCCGCCCACATTTGCAACTTTTGCCCGTCCATCTCTCGAGGCCCACTACCTTGTCTTCACCCTCGCCCTTCCTGTTCTCAACCTGAATCGCCGCATCTCATGTATTACAATCGCCTTGTCTACCTTACGATACCATGACTCTCCCGACCTTATTCTCCCTAATCGCAACCCCAGTCATTCCCATCCGCCTTGTTCACTCAAACTGAGTACTGCGTACCTTACTGAGTACCGAGTACACTCATTGTCTTCTAGTACCAACGAACAGCCACGTCCACATCCGCGTCTACAACTTACAACACACGTTGCCCGCACAAGTCCTGCCACCGCTGTCCGTATCATATTCCCACTCCTCCGCCCCGCTGGGCCCATCATCCCGTGCTTCTTCTGCTGTACGACGAGATACCCATCTCGTCGCGTATCGCAACTCCCAACTCGGTTCCTGCTAAGTAAGGTATTCTACCTTACCCCAGACATCGAACCCCGAATCTAGGCACCTCGACCAGACCCACGCCTTGATCTTCCCGGTCCCGGTCCACCTCCCGGTTTTTGGCCTACTATCTAAAGAGCCGTCCCCGCCAATCCTCACAGCATTAGACTTCCTCTTCTGTTTACTCGCCCTTCGCTACCTGATCAAGCCAATACTTCTGGGTTGGTCTTCTGCATTTCCGACCACCACCGCCGACCTTGAACTGCCAACATTCGCCATCCATTCCATGGCTCGACCATTCATCCTCGCTGCATCGTATTCAGTGTCTCCCGCTCCTCGCCCTCTCTGAGTTACTGGCATTCTCACCCCAACAGTGACTGGCATACTCAACTGTAGTCGCACTCTACTCAACCCCTGCTGTTTTAGCAGCAGCTGGTCTCATCCGAAGAAAGCTTGTCACGAAGATTATTAGCCCCAACTCACCCTTCATGTCGACGACTTCATCTCCTTCGCCGTTGCAAGGCCCAACTGGCCGTGTCGATGAGAAAACTCTACCCCAGGGTCAGTGCCGCTACATATTGCTGGTCCCTGGCATCAAAGGCCAACGATGCGCTTGTGTTCACTTTTCTCTCAACCGATCTACGCCCGGCGCTAGTTGCGACTGTGGGCACATGGCCTGTTATCATGTCAAGACCCCGGAGCCGTCGTCGACCAGAGAGGAGGTGGAGCTTCTGAAGCAGCGACTTCAAGGCCTTGAAGATCAACTTGACCAGCAGAGACAAGGCGGCCTTGGAACCGTCGTTGCCAGAGTGAGCGAGCTAGAGGACCTCGTCGACAAAAGCCGTGAAGAAATAGGCCAGGAGATCAAGGGTTCCTATCGCAATATCAACAGAGTATGGCAGTCTGTTGAGCAGCTTGAGCGTCAAACCTCTCATCTCCGGGAAACCCTGCGTTCTCAATCAGAACACATGGAACGTGTCAGCGGGGAGTTGGAGAGCGTCAGCAATCGACAAATGGAGCTTTTCGACGCCGACGAAAGCATCGAAGAGAGACTGGAACAGCTAGAGTCAGACCATGATTCTTTAGCCAGTCGAGGTGGCCAGGTCCCTACCATGACAGAGGAAGCAACCTTGGGACGACCAGACGCCGTGGTGGCCTCCAACCCACAACAGCCGCTAGTAGCCACTCTGTGTTCGCAGCCCGATGACGAATACAACCCAGGAGAAGCTGCCTGTATCTCGCCAGCCATCAGCGCGACCGATTCCAATATGAGTTCAAGCAACTGCGGGGCCTGGACAGTTCATATCTCACTTCTTCCGACAGCCTCTCAGCCTTTCCCATTCGAAAGAGACACCAACGCCTACAAGCGCTGCTTGTCCCGAGGGCTTCATCGGACTGTAGTAGTCGGCGGCCCAGATAGTGACTCTTTCATCGAGGCTGTCACAAAGTCTTTCGGTAGCCTACTCAGAGGAAGATCCTGGATGCCTCTACAGGCCAAGCTTTGCGACGCAGAAAAGCTCCAAGGGCTTCCCATGCTCAGGCCACTGGACTCAAGACTTGTTGACAGCGATTATGATCTCAACTTCCTCAAGAAATTTTGCGGCGTTTGCGAGGCCAACGGCAAGATCGATTCTCTATATATAGCCATGCGCCAGGATAAGTTTTCATGGCACTTTCTACGAAACTCTCCGATCTTCATAGAGGGTCTCGAGAATTGCTGGATTTACGATCATTTCTTAGATCCAAACGACCCAGTTGAAGACGACCGCATGGAAGAGCATGATCGACCCTCCGCCGGAGATATTGTTCCGAGTCTCCCAAACTTGAAGCGAGCGGCATCCGAGATGTCACGGACGGCTGGCTTAACGGCCGCATCAACAGGCAGCGATTCTGACGGCTCTCAAACCAAGACACCCCGAACCAGTTGCCTACCTAGTCTAGTTGAATCGCGGAGGCGTTTGGAGACTGTGTGAGACACTTAGTCTCTTTCCTTTACCATTGCTTTCCCCCTTCGCCTTCTAACTTTGGCCTGGGGGATCTGTTTTTACTGCATTTTAGACGCGTGGTTGGCGTCCAGGGCACGCTTAGTTGAAGCAGCAGGGGCGAATGTTGCGCGCTGCGCGCTGCACTGGTGCCAATGCTTCACGAATGAGGTCTCTCGAGACGATAGAAGGTTGATCCACCTGATAGAGGACATTTATACCCATTTCATTTATTTACGCCTGAGGGCACGAAGAAGCACTGTCTTGGTCAGTTTCCTACACATGTACAGGGGAATTGGAGATTCGGAAAGAGACAAAAAGTCCTTGAGGTAGTTTAGTGATAGTCTAAGGTAGGATAAGGTAGTCTTGGTCTTTTGAACAAAAGTCATCTGTCACAATGCTGTGCCTAATTTGAGGTGTAAGGAAACTGCAAACTTTCGGTGTGGCAGGTTTTTTTTTTTCTTTCTTTCTTTTCTTTCTTTGCTCAACATTGATGGCTCCTGCCTGTGCAATCGAGGTGGTACGCCGGTAAAGCCCGGATCGGAGGAGTAAAACTGGCGGGCAGAGCAGGACTCGGTAGCCGGTGAGATCCAGCAGGTGCCCAAAAACGGTGCCTGCCACCTGCCGTACGCTCCCCGTATCCACTAAGCCAAAAGTGGAAATGGTGCCGCTCAGCACGGTCAGCCTCATTCTCCACGACGCTAAGCGGCCGAAGCTCGTTCGGCCTATGAGCTCCGACAAGTAGACGTCGGGTTGATCAACTGTCCTTTAATCACATAGTTCCTCTTTCTTTCTCTATAATCTTGGCCAATTCTTCCTCTCTATAAACCCGCCTCGTTTTAGATTGGGACTAGGTTACCGCAGCCCAGCCTTCCCCTTCGAAGTACTCAGTCACAACAGATCGAATAAGCTTGATTTCGCGGGAGCGCGTCAAGCACCTCGCGATCAGCTTCCTCATCTTCACCCCTCCACCATACGAGCGCACGCCGTCGCAGATCAAGTCCAGAACGGAAGCGCCATGGACTACGATATCAACATGGACGATGTCGCCGACGGCTTCGCACCTCCGATGGCGACGATTGGTGAAGGCACAGTACGTAGCGCATCTGGTGGAGCAACTTGCATATCATTTGCTTGCTTGCTTGCTAACCTTTGACTTCAACAGAACATCGCACAAGCCGCCACAGCCTCGTCTCCCTCGAACGAACGCGAACTAGAAGATTCGACCATAGTACGAAACAAGGTACACATCCGAGGTCTGGACACATTGACCACGGACGACATCAAAACCTACGTGAAGAGTCATTTTGGTACTCCAGATAGAGTTGAGTGGATCGATGACGAATCCGCAAACCTGCTCTTTGGGTCGGAAAGTACGGCGCAAGAGGCTCTGACAGCACTGAGCGCCATTGAGATTGCCGACGTAACTCAATTGCCTCCTAAGGAGACAATTCCAGCCAAGGCCGTCGCGTCCCACCCAGACGTCAATCTTCAAATCCGATTCGCCGTTGTTTCGGACAAGAAGATACGAGGCGCTGCTGAGCGAAGCCGGTTCTACCTTCTCCATCCCGAATTTGACCCAGAGGAGAGAAGACGACGTGAGGGAAACAGGAACAGATATCGCAATCGGGACGGAGATGATCGTCGCCGCAATGGCCGTGCAAGAAATTACCGCGACCGAGACTCGAGCCCCGAGGTTTTCCATGCCAGCATGTATGATGACGATGAGGACATACTGGCCGACCGCAGACCAGCACGTCACCCGAGATCTCGCTCAAGAGATTCGACTCCGCGAGGCGAGCGATCTTATGCCTCTCGCAATCAGGAAAAGGAGCTATTCCCTGGGCGGTCATCAGGAGCAGGAAAACGGCAACGAAATCGTTCCGCTTCGCCTATGCGTGATCTGGATGGTGACGCAGCAATGGACGTTGAGGCAGCACGCGCGCCGAGGGCAAGCAATCGAAACAATAGGGAAAGGGCATCGGGCATCAAGGATCGTCTGGCTGAGGACAACAGATCCAAGGAATTGTTTCCCATCAAGGGCTCGTCGATGGGTAAGACGCACATGGACAGAGTCATGGACGGCGCGGACGAAGCTACGCGAATCATGCAGCAAAAGATGAGCGTGAGCAACGACCGCAACGGCAGGAAGGACCTATTCGATCGGGACAGAGTCGATAATGAAGGCCCCAGTGCTGGATTCTCCATCAGGGGCGCAGCGAGTGCGAACGTCAAGGAGCTGTTCCCAAGCCGCTTTGGAGGTGGTGGCAATACTGGAAAAGAGCTATTCGCTGACAAGTTAGAGGGCCGTGGCCGTCGGCGGCAGAAAGCAGAGGACCTGTTTTCGTAGCGCTTCGACATCTGGAGCGCTTATGCAACCATCTTGGTAGTTGGCAAGACGATGGAGACGATCTTCGCGACGAATTTGGGAAAACAGCGGATGGCGCACGCTGTTCATTTAGATACCAGAGAGGTCTGAGCTTTCGCCATGGGCTAGCGTGATAGAAGGTGAACTTAGTTATAGCAACTGGTGTGTTCAGGCTGGGCATTGTGTGGTGTGAAGTTATTGTTGAATCGGCCAAGTACATCGTCCTTCGTCATATTCTTCGTAGTTTCCAGAGGCAGTTGAAAGGGTTCTGGGATGATCAGCCAAGTAGGATGCCCTTACAGCTGGGTAGGGAGGCAAGAGTTCCATCGCTAAACTTCCAGGCCATTGCGGTCTGGTTGGCCAGCTACTCTTGTGTATTCGTCCCGGAGAACAGAATACCGGGGCGGAAGGAGCTCCTGGCCTTGCTCGAAGTTCCCGTATCATGTAGCAGCGGAGGAAGGCGCGCCTAGTCTGATATACTCGCAACTTCCAATCGGCTGAACGCGCCTGACTTCGACCCCTCGCCTGCCCTTGTTCGTTTCTTCCTCCTATCCGCGTACATCGCGATACCTCATCCAAACTTTACCATCATATCTTACTCGTCCTTCACCTCACTCAATCGCCCACGGTGATTTTTAAACAGCACACAGAACCCGACCTCTCCCCTGTTCTCTCATCTGAATAGAGCATTCACCTTCCGAAAAAGTCAAATTTGGGCCGTCAACATCAATCGAGGAACGCGTCAAAAGGCCGTCGGAAAACATCACCTTTTCTACGTCTCTGACGATTGGTTCTAAAACTCACCTCACCACTGGAAGCCTCACTAGACTTCATCACGTTCGTTATCTTGACACCAAAGTACTCGATGCCGGTTTAGTTAACATACTCTTCGCTAGCACAATCCAGTTGCCAACGGATATCTGCCATCAGCGAGCCAATATGGCGGATTTCTTATGGACAAAACCGTTGCCTCCCCGACGAAGAAGATCAGAGCTGACGCTGAGCAATCCGCCTCCCGATGAAGAAGACTCTGCTCCGGACCTCGGCGTTCCCCCTATTCGATCGCGCCAGTGGAAGCCCATCCCTCGCATTGCGAGTCTCGATGTTCTTAGTGCTGCTAAATTGGGCACAAGCAACTGCCCAAGCATCAGATCAGACGGCTCGCAGTCGTCCTCACATCGGCTGTCGCCATCCCCAGCAGAACCAACTGAGCCAGCCGATACAGTCTGGTATCAAGAGCGAGACGAGACGGAACGGGCTCTCTCGCTGGAGCAAATGATCAATGCGTTACACTACACGATGATGACCAAGAACGTTCTCGATCCAGTTCCCAGAGAGTATAACTCTTATATCCTACATTTGTTGGAGGGTTACTGGGATCTCCAGGAGCGACTGAAGAAGACAGAGCAGGAGCTCGCAGAGGAAAAGGAGACAAAGTTGAAGAGTCTTGAAGAGTTCACCAAGATGTCTGAGGAGTGGGAGTCGAAGGAGTCTGACTTCCGCGCTGAGATCAAACGTATGGAACTAGTTCTCGTTGATGCAGCGCCTGAGGGTGTTGGTGCAGTAGTTCTGGCCAGGTCTGGCAGTCTCGTCGACAGAAGCGCAGGATCATCTCGACTCTTCAAGGCCAGGGTCGAGAAGGCCAAAGAAAGTCCTCAGAAAGGTAGCTCTCGCTTCAACATTGGGTAGCACTCCTATTCCGTTTGCTAATTGGATACGCGCAGGTGATTTTGGCACCAGCAAAGCCGGTAGCCTAGATAACACGCGGATCTCTATAGGCTCTGGAAGTCCCCGCCTGAACCATCAAACCTTCTGTAGGCACATAGAAACATCTGTCTACTCAGTTTTACCGTGTACGTACTGACATCCTAGTGTCAATGCAACCTAACTTGGATGAGAATGCCGATGTTGAACTGAGCAAGGGTCTGATAAAGGCTGAACGACGACAGCAACGGGCCTCGAGACGCAGGAGGAAGGAGGGCATCTTTCCGCCGGTCAACGTGGCATGGGATAGTTCATCGGAAGAAGAAGCAAACAAGTCAGCATCATTTCAGAAGACAGACGGGTTGCCTGGCTCGGAGTTCATGAAGCCTCGACTATCACGGCGAGCAGCACCATCTGCACAGACCGCCAACCTAGAATCTTCCGCCAAGGAAACCGCCGTGTCTCGAACGGGTGAGCATGACGATGCACATTACCGACCTGACCACGCACCCCATACCGGCGCGGAATCGGCTGAAGACAGATCGGCCGTAACTGGCATGCCGAAATTTGAACGGCCGACAGGTACCGACCCGGATGTCATGACGGCCACGTCTGGCCGTAGAGCCTTGGGGACCCACCGCCACAGGAGGGACTTCTCGTTCGATGTCGGAGAAGATAGCGTTCAGCTGCCGGCCCTCTCTGGCAGTGCTGGTATTTCTGACGAAAACAATGTCTACATGGGCGGCCCAGAGGCTTTCTCTCTACAGCGCCCCCTTTCGTCAGATGGAGAGGCTTCCACAGCCTCACTCACTGCAGGGCCTTCCAACCAGCAAGGTCATGTACTTAACAGCGATACACAGGAATCGCCAAACAAAGACGAAAACAATGCCCTCAAAACCCGCTCTGGAGTAGAGTAACCCGGCGCAGAAGGCGGTAGATGGGCCACGAGACCTAGTCTCCTGGGTAGACGGTGAAGCTCCCGCTCACACAAATCGTCCTGCGAGTCCTCGGGCAACAACCAGAGAACCTTCAGCGATGAAGCCGGAGGGGACGGCATGGCTAGTCCAACGGAGAGAAGTACCACATACGCAAAACAAGCACACATAACGGCAAAGGAAGCCTTGGAGCGGTTGGGCAGCGAGGGACAGGGTCAAGGTCGGCCCCCAGGTTGGTCTAGATGCTAGAAGCAGATAGTGCGTGGTTGTGATGGTTGCGGTATTTTGCTCCGAAAGGGCGGGATTTCTAGCAGAATGCACTTCTCGAGCAGTTACGGTAGCCTACGCTTGCTGCGGTGTCATGGTCATGTTGACATCTCTCTCTCTCTCTCTCTCTCTCTCTCTCTCTCTCTCTCTCTCTCTCTCTCTCTCTCTCTTGCTGTCTCCTTGCTTCGCATGAATGGCTGGAACATCGTCACTCTATGTGTGTCAATGGCGCCCAAAGCCCATAAAATACAGTCTAGATCGAGCCATCGTGGACATGACGCGTTCCATCGGACGCTGGTGAGCTTACACCCCCCATCACCGAGCTCCTCGATCCTTACTCGCGCTTGCATGAAGCCGTTTCTGTCGGAAAGCTGGTGTGTTTGTGCCATGCCAAAATAGGAGACCAAGTTCCGCAAAGCTCCAGACTTGGCTTGGGAAAAGGGAAAATGGATATGCCACGTGAGCTTCTGGGCCCCCGGCCGGAGACTACTTTTTTTTTTTTCCTTTCCTCCTGTCCTTCGAGAGCCCATGACCCTGGCTTGGACAACCACCAGGGTTCCGGAGAGAAGCTCGCGAAGCGAAAGGGAGAATTAAACCAACCCCTGGGACAGATCATCAGGCGAGGCCGTGGAAGAAAGAGGAGACGACTGCGGGCCGTGTGCAACGGGCCGAACGCGGATGGATGTGTACAAGCTCATGGCTCGAACAGCAGGTCTTTTGTGTCACTCGTCGTATATCATATATTCACAATATCCTCCGTCCCGAGGACAGCCATTGAGATGTTATATGTGACCACAGCAACAACTAATAGCCTGGCAGTCACGCCATGCAATACCTGAAGTCTTCTGATCAATAGTGTCGATTCCAAATACACCAGAATGCGAAGTGATGAAAACACCGGGTAGGCATCAAGACGAACTCCTCGCCAACCCCAGATCGGTAGCAATGTCCGGCACGGCCAGTGACACAGAGCTGGGCATGGGAAAAAAGCCACTACCAAACAACAAACTAGTGAAATGGCAAGAACCCGACGAAGCCATAAACAGTCGGGAGAGCGGGGGCCTCCTTCACCCCCTCCCCCCGGCTGACGGAGAAAAGCCAGCGGAACGCTACTACCTAAAAACTCCCGCTAGTGCCCAGGCTTTGCCGGGCCAGGCTCAACATTATGTATAGAAAACCCCAAAGAGTCTAGACTTCTAGACCTGGGGGGGACGGGCGTCTGGGCCCCGATTCTTGGGGGCCGGGCGGAGGAATGCATTTCTATTAGCGGAAGACCGAGTGGCAGAGAGGGAGAGAGAGCGAGATGCTGCAAACAAACTTGCACCGATGCGGTCACTTGCTCCGGAGGCCCGCTTTCCAAGCTGAAGCCATTCTGCGCGCACCATGGAGATGGACGGACACGGACACGGCCGGACGCGGGAAGGGGGACCGGGTAGGGGAAAAAGAGGGTGTGTGTGACAGATGAAAGCAAGAGAGGAAAACGAAAACGGTCTCGTAACCTTGAACGCCGGCGGTTGGTTAGCGAAGGCGTTTCGTTACCAGATTCCTGGGTCATTCTGTCGGGTTTTCCTAGTCCAATCCTAGGCCTTCCAGAGCCCCCCCCCCCTCCCCACGAATCTGACTTTGAACCATGGCTACCTGGAAGTCCGGGTAAGTCTATGATCGCAATGGTGTTGTGTGAGTCGACGACTCAACCGTTGTGGTCCCAAGCCTCCGACGTCCGCATCCTTCTAGGTGCATATTGTATTGCCTGGCGGCTTGACGGGCTCGGGGATGACCGCGTCCAGTTGTTGTGAATCGCCGGTTTATTCGCTCAACGAAACCTTTAAACACACATCGTCAGAGTAACCTCAAATAGCGTCTGACTAGGGTGTCAATTTCAAAATCCTCTTCAACTTATGGAAAGCTTCTGGTACCTGGTAGAAGGATATCGAATGAACGACTAGAGGAGAGCGAGAGCAGGCTACCCTCCTTTACCCTCCGCGACTTGACTGATGAGTGACTTCACAGAGCTATCAGTGGTGATAGGTGAATTCCGTTGTGGGCAACGATACTTATTCACAACGAGACTGATATCGACCACGGATTGCAACTACATCCCGAGATCATCATCCTCATCATCACTACTTGATGAGAACAAAAAAAGAAAAGCGTAAGGAGAAGCGAACCAGGATGGCATTTTCACCATGGAAAGCGTTCTCTCTCCAACCTATACGTCTGAAGCAGGGAGTCACAACTGTCGTAGACTTCAAGCCGTTCTTCTTTGCTTCCCGCGTATTGGCTGCCACACAGCCACCGTGTATAGCCCAATCAGAGGGATGACCGTTTGCGTCCTTTGAACGTGCGGGCAGGCTAAGTGAACACAAAAATCTCGCGCGGCGGGTGAAATATAACGTTCTCCCGCGGCACCGTGGCACCTCAGGGTCCGACACAAGAGGAATATCTTCCAGCGGAGAAGGTTTTTAAAGGCGTTGTGATGGACGAGTGAACGGCTGCTGGTAGTCTGCGGCTAGAGGACCCTGTGGACTGATGAGTGCAAATAGAGGCGTTAAGGGTGGCCGTGAACATCGACGGCTTTGCTACACAAGGTAGTTAGTTAGCTGATTCAAGTTGCCAAGCCGCGAGGCACCGCCCCAAGAACAATTGCATTGTCTACCTACCTTGGTTGGCGAAACTGAGACGTATATTGCGTATTGCCGCGTATGGCATCGGATCTGTGTAATTTATACCGTGAGTCCAACGTTCCTCTTGTGAAGGAGGTCGTGGTTGTGGTCATCCTCATCATCCTCACGTTCGATGTCGTCTGTTTCCCAGTCTGTGCCATCGGAAACCCGGGTCGTACAAACCCTGAATGTCAATGCAGTTCAAGTCCGTGTGAAGAGGCAAGACATGCGTTTTTTGGACAGCTAGAGCCCCAAGGGTCCTTTGGACCCGTAAATCATAAAAAGAAACCCTTCGCCCCCCGATGTTGGAAAGTAAAAAAAACCAAAGATGACAAATGTTAGAAAATCTGATAAACCATACCAAAGTCAAACAAATGTTGTCATGTGTTGTGCGGCTGACCGAGCGCCACTGTTGTGAATCGGACCAAATGGTGGCTTGAACCGGCTCCCTGATATTTTGTTCCCTTCCCTTCAGACGCATAGTTCAGTTCAATCCACTTCCGTTCGGTCCCGTTGCATAATAAGGAGGCGTGGCCGGGACTTCGTACAGCAATGTTGAGAGGGGTGAGGTGCCAATGGTATTTTGTTACCTTGTATCTGTGCACACGGCATGAAGTCATGCTAAAAGTCCTCTAGCGTCTTTGGCGACGAACGATACCGTGAAGTAAAGAGTGCGACGCCTGAAAGGTGTTGGCGCCTTCATGGCCTAGACACGAGCTGCGGCCGACGTGCGCCATCGTCCGGTGGTATCGTGTAGTTTCACTGTAATTGCGTCGTTATGCAGCCACTTTTCTCCTTTCTTCACTCCCTACCGCTCTCTGTCTCTCTATCTCATCGTCAGCTCAGGGTGATAGTTCGCCATGATTTTCGATAGCAAAGGTTCAGCTTCAATGCAAGTAGGTAGGTAGCGGCGGCAGGAGAGTGGACTGATGGTGGTGTTCGCAGTATGGACCTGCATTGACGGTGTGGCTGACTGTGTACGTGCGAGAGAGTGTTGCGTCGATGACAGTATCATAATGAGATGTGATGCTGTCGTCGCTTTTTGGGCACTGGCCATTGCCTGTCTGTCATTTTGCCCTACAGACAAGGTACGTACTCTACGTACCGCGTACCTACGGAGCACACAGACGGCAGTAGGTAGTTGATGTTTAGCTCACCCGGAAGAGGCACTCTTGGCACTGACTGTTTGACTCGAGAGTCAACACACAGGCACGCCGCACGACAAGTCTGAAGACTAAAGACTGGAGGGACCAGGGTGGAGCCGATATTTGTCATGATGGGAATTTACGCCCAAGATAGGTTCACCACCAAGCATGTCTCGCTCTATTCGCTTCTACCGGCTTTTCTACCCCCAGTTACTGCACAGTATTCGCACGTCTATTTCGGACTAGTGTTTAGGGTCTCTCTCCAATCTTGTACCGGAGCCAAGCTCCGTAAAATGTGGCGTTACTAGAGGCATGTGGCTTTAACCAGCTGGAGTAAAACAAGGACAAACTACATCCTGACGCCGTTATGCCTAGCTGGCAAGGGTCTCGGGAGATTGTGTCTGTGAGGAAAACCTGGTGGCATCTAATTATCGAGATGTATCATTTGGATGCTACGTCCGGCGATGATCAGGGGGTATTCCAAGTGAGATTTCTGTTCGTATACGGGTTTAGACAAGACGTCACATCACAGATGCGCTATCAGGCAAAGGACAAGCATACATCTAGTAACATGGTAGAAAAAAGAGAGAACCAGGGAAGAAGCTGGGAAGTGAGGCTGAGGCTGTGAGGCTTCTTCGAAACATGGGTATCCGTACGGAGTATACCGTATGCACAGAACAGAGAACAACAAGCAAGTGCCAGGCCAGGGCAAGGTGCTTCATCCGCCGGTAAAGTGTTACCAAACGTCCTGCAACAGGAGCGGGGAGAGCGGCAAGTAGAGCGAGCGAGCGAACGGGGTGGGAGAGTGGGAAAGTGGGAGGTGGATAGTGGATAGATCCCCATCATGTCTGGGCTATGTGGCCCTCCGGCCTGAATGAAAAATATTTTGGCTGAGATTATTTGGCTGTGACGGTTGTTGTTCCTTTTTCCTGTTGTCTGTTGCACGCCGAGATCGAATCGGTGTGAACCACAGCCGCGGATATGAGTAGTGATATCCGTTCTGCAGGTCTTGGAACCGGTGAGGGACCAGGTTTTGGAGAGACTGTTTTTGTCATCCCTGTCGTGGAACCGTCGGGTCCGGGGGGAGGGGTGGTTTACCAATGCATTTGAGGTTACATTCCCATTTGCATTTGCATTTGATCTGGAACTCGGGGTTCGATGGGGGATCGTGTTCCTTTACCATGGGATGAGATGGGGGATGGGGGCCGGCCTGTTTGTCCATCTCAGTCCTTGCACAACAAACAAACATACATACCTGCTGGGTATCGTGTGTCTAGGACAGGGAGGGACACGGGGGTGTGTTTTGCCAATCATTAGCAAAAGTAAGTAGTGCCCTCGCAGCCTCAATATCCTTATTATGTACTCACATTGAGGTTGGACGCATGCCGGGCATACGTGCTCGAGGCGAGACAACGGCGTGAACGGGGAAGCTGCTGTTGCCCTACGAGAAGTTGGAAGGGATGCAACGATGCGTATACGGAAGGACGTATCGTCAGTAATCAGCAATGTTCGGTAGGGGCCAAGAAAAGGAAATAACGTTCTTCTCTAGCGAACATATTGTTTAGTGTTAGTGCTGTGTACGGAGTACCTTAGTGTGAGGAGGGAGGATAAGGAAGGTATGGTATGGCAGTATGCACATCTGCACCGTACGTGCGGTTACCTCGCAGAGCACCAACGGGCAGGCAGGCAGGCAGGCGGCAGACGGCAGCTGCAAGATCGGGGAGACCCGTCTGTTCGCACAGCTATCTAAGGAAGGAAAGGTCTGGTTAGGTAAAGCAAGTCAAGAGCGGATATGACGTGCGGACAATGGATGGGGCATGATGGATTCTACCGTAGGTAATCCGTCCACCACAGGAAAACCCCCTGTCATGTCCATGACGGGCGTGAGGCCCTGCAACGGGCAGCAGAAGCTGTCCACACACTCCACAGTCAAGAGTCCATCGGATATGACGAGTCTGATGTGAGAGAGAGTGAGAGTGGTCGGTTGGATTGTCCTTATCCTGTTGTGTCCAGACGGAAACAACGCGCACAGCAGCAACGCCAACGGGAATCTCGCTTGACGTGTTAGGACTCAGGACTCACTCTCACAGGGCCTTACCCGCGCACCTTACCTTACGTACGGGTACCCAATTGCAAATACCTTACCCGCCTGGCCCTGGTCTAGCCTCTTGTCTCAGACACACAAGAGACCCAGTCCAGGGGCGAGAGACAGCAGGCACCCGTATAACGGCTGAAGGGCTGAGTGGCTGGCCGGTGGGTTGGCACGTTGCAATCTCGATATGATGCTGCGCATGCGGAGCACCGACCGGGAGAGAGAGTGCGTGTGTGCCAGGTGTGATGCAGCCAAAGAGGCGGTGGGTAGGTAGCCTGTAGATATTCGTGGCCTCTACTGCGTAGGTAACGGGCTGGTTGGTGCATCATGGATGATGAATATGCCAAGTTTTGTTTCCCATCCACCGTGTCTGCCCCCCCCCCCCTGTTGTTGCGCTGAGATTGAAATTGAAGCTTGCCTGTGCCTATGCCTGCTTGCTTGCTTGCTTCCTTCCACGCCTCCTCCCTTGTCGCGTGGTCTTCACTACTACCTATGTAGTCTGTTCTTGTGCTCGGCGGGTGTGAATATCTCGTACCTACGTTGGTGGGGTCCCGGGGATACTACAGAAAAAGCTTCTGCAAATCCCACTCTCCTTCTCCTGTCGACTTCGATGGTCCGGGGATCAAACAGACGTACACTACCTAACGATTATCCGTACTTGCGTACCCGCACTGGACAGCGGAGCATATCCCCACATAATATCATATGCATTCTGCTTACGCTCTCTAAATGGCAACGGCCTCGCTCACCCCTGCTCGTGAGGCTTCCCGCTATGAGAGCTGGCTCCATCCTTGTCACCTCCCAGCTCCCAGTCCCCTTGTCCCCGTTCGCCTGCGCTTATGCCGCTGGCCGACCGTTGATCGACGGGAGCCCATTGGCCCGGGGCGCCGGGCATGGGGCGAACATGTTCCATGGCCGTGCCGACCCAGAGTCGTCTATCTTACGAATACTACTTAATATCATTTTGTATCCGTTCGGATCCTACCAAACTCCTGCGGATACTGAGCACACCGTAGGGACTGTGCCATTGAGAACCGCAGCTGGGCCCAGATGTAATTGCATCTCAGATTCAACCTCACATCGTTTACCCAGCTGCTGGCCCATTGGGCTCCCCAAGAAATTGGGTGTGCCCCCCCCCCCATGTCACTCTCTCTGTACTTTGTGCGCCGGTTTCCACTCGATCTCACACCCCTCCCCCCCTTTTTTTCTTTCGTGCCCGTTTCCTCATTGACGACCAAAACTTGTCTAACCCCCTCGGGCATGATCACCAGCTACAACGGCACCCGAATTCTCACAGCGTCGCAGTGGCAGCCAAGAACCGCCTAGGTCCCCCGCTGCCCCTCCCCCCCCCAGTACACCCTTCACTGAAGTCATGTTGAGATTGGATCCTAGCCTAGTAACGCAGATGATCGCCGGGCTTCCGATGTGATGTGGAATCATTTCGCCAAGGAGGTCTCTCAGCTGCTGAACCCCTGGACTGCGGATGCTCACAACCTGCGTGGGACTCGGGAGAGCGAAGAACTGCCATGTCCCTGAGGTTAGTGTGGTTTAGTTTCAACATCCGTCCGTAGTGTATGAACACACTCTTTTTTCCCTCTCGTCATGTGGGAACAGCAACGGTCTCTTTCGCCCGTATGATACGCACGTACTTTCAATCTTCTCATTTTATTTTCTCTTGGTGAAGGCCCTGAAAACACCTCCGCTTCGCCATCTCTTTCTCAATCGTGTTGCTGCGGTTCAAATGAAGTAAACAGACAGGGATGCAACGTTGAGGGCACCGGTGATGATGCGTGCCGAGAATGTAGTCAATGACGACAACGTCAAGGAGGAGAAGTGATGCGAGATCTGCAGTCGTAGAACGCAGAGGAACGGCCGCCATTTTTTCTTCCATTCAAATATGCTGTGTTGCGGGCGATGGGTGTCGACTTGGCCGAACGATCCAACGTCTTTTTCTTGTGGTTGCAAACGGCCCGTATGGCTGGGTCTAGTCTTCCTGGGTACTTTCTGTATATGGGTCGCCGCGGACCAGGCCCTCACCCTACTGGTGACCGTCGTGGTTCTCTCTGGGCGGTAGTCTGAAACGGTCAACGTTGACTTGGTAGCTGCTCCGGCGCTTCGGACGACAACGCCTCCCACCATCCCTAGGCTCACGATTGGTCGAGTTGAGATGGAGGACTCGGCATCGTCCATCCGTGCTCACGACCGTGGTTAATTACGAAGCGGGTGTCACTGAGACAAGGCACCGGTATACTTTCAGATGCCAGTACTGCACTTGGAAGATGACTGGCTGGTCTTTCCTGCCTGTCGTTAGTCAGGTTTGCTTCGATCGTTCGCCCTGGGTATCCGTAGATCTGGTATATGTCTGTTGGTGCCTTGATCAACCAGGTTGGAGACGACTGGTCCCTCGTGTACCTGCCAGCTTCCTTCTTTTGGCCCCAGGTTCCCTTTTCTTTACCAAGTACACATGGCCATGATTCGCTTGGTCGTGAGGCGAGCTGAGATCCCGATACATATTGCGTAGATCTTAAGAGACGCAATAATGCGACAGGCTCCAGGGATGAATAGGGCGAGTGTGCGAGGCTGGTGGCTATCCCCGCTGTGTTGAATCTTTTTGGGCCAAAAGAGCCGCAGATCCTATTTGATCCCACCAGCACGGCCTTGTTACCAATTCGCTGCCAGGTTGCTGCCATCCGCTGGTTGTACTCCGTACCAGGGATCGCCAACGGGACACAAACATTCCGAGGGCGGGCGACCAGGGTCCGGCGGAGATCACGGTGCACCGTGGCACCTAGTTTCCCCCCCTCCCCTCTACTCCTGTGCTTGTCGTCGTCCCCATTGATGGATAACTGAATGCCTCGCCAATTCCTCAACGGTTGGTGCGAGCGTGCGCGAGTGTGTACGTGCGGTGCGAATGCGTAGGTAGACGACCACGACCACCTCTGCCGGTGGCGATGCAGTAGGCAATAGACATTGGACGAAAATGCTCCTTGGGCCTCGGCAGCAGGTGTGAAGAAGTGCCAACTATCTGTCAGGGTGATTGATTGATTTGATAGACGTCGCTGCCGCGCTGCCTTGGGCACGTCTGTGCTCCTCCTCCTCTGACTCTGCATGGTTTCGGTTGCAATTCGTCATTCCTCAAGAGGATGGATGGGATATGGTATCCTTACGTGGGGACCGGGAAGAGAAGAGAAGAGAATAGAAGAGGGGTTTCTTCACCTCGTCCTCGCGTCGTTTGAAGAAATGTCAGGGCAAAGCCACAAGAGCAATGGTAAGTCGAGTCGGGTTGAGTTGACCATCTCGAGTCGAGTCCGTCTCTTTGATGTCGTCCGGTTTCCGGATTTAGGGATCGGCCTCGAAGGAGGGGCGGTGGTGGGGACCAGACGGAAATGGAAGGGAAAGATGGGAAAGATACATCCGCTGAGGTCACTTTGTTACTTCCCATTTCTCCTGTCTGCCTAGTCTCCATTTCCTCCTCTTTCTCTCTCTCTCTCTGTCTCTCTCTCTCTCTCTCTCTCTCTCTCTCTCTCTCTCGCGCGCGCGCGCTCTGTCTATCTTTCCTTCCTGCCGCCGTCTTCGTCGGGTCTCGCCTTCCCCGTACAGCTAAGATAGGTAGGTACATGAGGAAAGCAGGCAGGTGAGTAGGTAGATACCTTAGGTAGGTGCAGAGCATCGTGGGTAAACGTTTGTGAGGAAGGCACTCCGTACGGATTCGCATTGTCCATGGGTATTGCCTGCCTGCTTATGGACCGATGACGAGAACACAGCTTCCAAGATTCGTATATTTTCATACTCTAACTTACAAACAGGGGGTACCGAGGTAAAGCTTTTGTTACTTTTTTGGCTTTTTTTCTCCTCCTCTGGACAAATACTTGGAGAACTGTTGTGAGATTGGCCGACATGTTTATTTGACTTTTCAGTGAGCAGGGGAATGCGAACGAGGGAGGGTTCTCGGCCGTGCTTCATCCCCCATCCCCTCCTCCTCTGTCCCCCCACCGACTTACCCTCCAATTACATGCGGCTAAATCTTCATGTCGATTCCGCATCTGGTATTGCATCAGATTGATTGACCGAATCGTCCTGTCTTGGCACATGTTCCGTTGCTGGAAAGTGCCCTACAGACTCCGTACCTACTGCGGTAGATAAACGCGTGCGTCCACCAGGTCTCGCTAAGGAACGAAGTCATCATGAGATTAAAACACAAACGCCCATCTGTCTGCGAAGATGCAACCAACATATACATATCTGCAAGGTAGACAATCTTTCCTCGACTCATTCGACGCTAGGGATTTATCTGTTTGAATGGATGAAAGTAGACGAAATATTCCCTATCCACCATGCGATGCAATGCATGACGGCCGCCCCATGTTGCGCCGCCCGCCTTCTCCCTCGCTTTTCTTTGTCCCCGCCGCTCATCGCTCTTCCCATCTGCCCCATTCCGCTGCCGTGATCCTCGTCATGATCGACACTGGAGCCCACCCGCTCATCTGCAGCAGAACATCCCCGATCTCGTGTTTGGCTGCGAGCGTTGGCCCTGACCGAACGCTCTGTCCTCCGCCTCACCTGTGCCTCTGGTCCCTGTCTAGCGCCCTTGATAGCTACCTGAGCCATTGCCATCCTTACCTATCCGCAATTGGAGCATCTCAGCCATCCGATGTCTGCAGAACCTCGCCTAGATGTGAGTTTGTACGCTCACTAACCAACCACCAACTCTGTCATCAAGCCGTAAGCCTGGCTACTTTGATATGTTTACCCTGTGTGCCTGGGTCCCGCGTTTTTCCTTGCGCCCTGCGCCACACAGTCACTGTGACTGAGCCATATATGTGTATGCACCTACGTTGCACAAACTTTGATCGAGGATCCATACCAGCCGAACGAGCAGCGGCGGGGAATAACTGTTAGAAAAAAACCGATGGAAAGTCTGGCCCTGGACGTTTGAGGTTCCCACTCATCGTCGCTGACGTGGCTGCCAACCAACGTGGGGGACCCCTCTCGTTTCGCCCAGACACTGCCGACTTGATTACTACCGCCCGAGCACTTGTGTAGGTATTCGTACCTAGATGGCGTACCTGGGCCAAAGAAGACTTGAAAGCTGTAACCAGGATACCATTTCCTCATGTCACATTGCATTTCCATGGTTGTAAATATGTTTTCGTAATTTTTTGATTAATGGTGATGTATACATCTTTTACGATAATATAGCTAAAATCAAAAGGCGTGGTGAGATTCTGTTCCTGAATCTCTACCGTCCTGCCGCCGTCCCATGCCAGACCTTTTTGATTTCTCAGGCCTCCCAATTGCGCCATCCCCTCGCTAGGGTTTGAATATCAGGTATCAAAGCAATGACCGAAAAAACAGTGTACAAGTTTTGCGTCCCATTCCCAGACGTACCGCCCATTACACATGGTATACACTTTCAGAACCCATGTACTCTTTAGTGGTACATTATGGCATACATGAGGATTGTATACCTCAACGTAGACAAAAGCAAATGTCGAACACGTCGTTTGCTCAACCCAGAAGCGCGGAAACATCCATTCTAGAGTCCTTATCCGCAGCTGAAGGAGAGGGCGGCGGCAGAGCTTGTTGAACTGTGCTCCTCACTGGAGAATTGGGTGCTGTGAGGAGGTGCGATGGAAGGGAGGGCAGGCGCATGTGACCGGCTTCTTTTCTGTCGTTTGGGGCATTGAGGAGACTGCCGAATGAAGGCAGCGAGCGAGGGGCAGAGCTCTCGTCCATGCGGAGCGGGGCCAGTTGGACGGATGGCGATGTACCGCGCGACAGGCATTGGGGGGAAGTGGTGTAGCTTGAGGCGACATCGGACATCGTGGAGGTCTCTCCGTCGAGACCATCACTGCCGGGCGAAGAGGTAGAGTTGGGCGACGGAAGCGGCGACTCGAGTTGATAGTAAGGGTGGCTGTGAGTGTAGAAGGCGGGAGAAACAGGCGATGACATGCCGTGTCTTGTGTGGGAGTAGGAAGCGGCATGAGAGTTGATGGTGAGAGTGGGTCGGAAACCAGAGTGACCATATCTGCGGTCGTCGTAGCCGCTGCCCTGGTTGGCCCTGCGACGATCGTGACGCTTTCTGCGGTTCTGGCTTCCATTCCACCAGTTCTTGACGGCATTGTCGCTGCGGCCGTGCAGCCGTCTTGCGATCTCTGCCCACCGCTTACCGATCTCGTTGACGAGAATCTCGATTTGGGCACCCTCCTCGGGAGTGATGGGCTCGTGGTTCAAGGTGGGCTTCAAGTTTTGGTGGAATCGTTCTCTGCATTGCTTCGGTGTCCTTGTTCCCAGGGCTTGGGCAATCCGCACCCAGTTCAATGGGCCCTGGTCGTTGACAAGCTGCATGAGATAGGCGTCTTCCTGTTGGGACCAAGGCCCTCTCCTTTGTGAAGCGAGAGACATCTTTGGCTGTGGGAGGTTTTGCGAGGTAGTGGTTGAAGTGTTGATTTGAGAGTATCGGTATCGGCAGAACACAAGGGAGTCCGACGACGATGTATCTGTGTGTGTGTGTGTATGTATGTATATGAGAGCAGAAGAGATATGATTGTAAAGTGGTAGTTGAAGGCTAATGGCAAGTTGATGATGGGAGTGAAGAGGCTGAGTGAGGTCTTGGATGAGCGTGGGATGTCTGCGTATATATGTTGTTGAGCAGGTGGAAGCAGCGTGGTGGAGAAACCGTGCCGAAAGCAGAAGCGTTCAGGTTGGAAAGGCTGTGCGTTCAGAAGGAGGTGTGTAGGTAGGTATGAATACTGCGTAAGTGACCGACTACAGGAATAAAATTGGAGGGTCTGGGGGACAACGACGAAAGAATAAGAAAGGATAAGGTTTGGGTCGAACCTGGTTAGAGGGTGGGAGAATAAGAACGGGGGGTGTCGTAGATGAAAGGAACTTGCCCCAGTCCAGACGAGTAGATCAAAATCAGGATCAGGATCAGGATCAGAGCAGACGCAGACGCAGACGCAGACGCAGACGCAGACGCAGAAGCAGAAGCAGAAGAGACGGGTGATGGGTGATGATGGCAAGTGGAGCGACGGTTCGTGAAAATCCCCCGGCACACGCCCCATGTCCCACGCCCACGTCTGACTGGCCCACGCCCACCTAGTCCGAATTGAGAGCGAGCCCAGGTCCGTGAGAGAGGGCACTTCGTACCATGGGCAAGTGCCAACATCACCGACAGCGGCAGCGGCAGCGGCAGCGGCAGCGAGGGGTACTTAGTAGCCCAAGGGCAGCTCCGCAAGGCAGAGGTCCAGAATGCAGAAGAGCACGATCCGAAGAAGCTGGGAAAGGGCCAGCCGCCTTCCCTGTCCAACCTTGGGGTCAGAGGAAGGACCTTGGGGGTGAACCTAACAAAGAAAAGCTACAAAGCTAGAAAAGGCATGCGAGGTTCTCGTGCAAAGTACATCTTCCTCTGAGATCGGGAACTGGAGGTGTGGGGATGGGTGAGGGCGTGGGCATGGGCGTGGGCATGCAACCGCAAGAGATATGAGAGCGAAGAGAAAAAAGAAGTAGAAGAAGAAAAGAGACGGAGAGTGCCAGAGCCAGAGCCAGAGCCAATGCCAATGCCCTGGTCGATATTACCTAGCTGTATCCGTCGTCGTAGTTATCGTTGTCGTTGTCGTCGCCTTTGAGCAATGGAAGAGACAAGTACATTTCATGCAGTACCTCGAGGTCTGGTACGGGGTATGGGAGCCTGGGAAGCAGAAGGGCCTAGATCCAGGCCCGAGTCGCTCTCTCCAGCCAGTGATGTGAGTGGAGAGAAAAACTGGTAGCGTGGGAGATCACCTCAAATCGCGGTACGGAACGGGGCCGCTTGTTACTTACTTTGTACCTATTCAACAGGGTGAGCCATCCGTCCTCGACATAAGGTATCTACAGTACCCAGTACAGGCGTACACACAGCATTACGGGTGGGATTCGGAGGTACCTCACACCACCACCACCACCACCAATACTCAGGTAGGTGCTACCAACGAGCCTCAACTGTTCCATTCCCCCTCTTTTCCTCTTGCCTTTCTTTCTGTTTACTTTCCTCCTCATTTCGGGGTAACTTCAAGCGATGCCTTCTCGAGCCCGAGCTATCATCTCGCATCACTTCATATCAGTGGTATTAACTTGATATTAACATGGTCCAAAGGTTCTTCCGCACCTCCTGTTCTGGACATGGATGACAGAGTGACCGCGGGAGGGAACCTATGAGCCCACGGCTGAAGCTGGTGCCACGACCAGACCCAGGCGACGGGAAAGACTTCTTTCAATCGACGAGCCTGACTTGCGGCTATCTCCTTTCAAGACACACGCCCCTGCCCTTGTCTTGTTCGTCGTGCTGCCCTAGTCCCTGTCGACCATCCCTATCCCGGCTCCAGCTTCGCTACTGATGACAATCCTTGTTCTACTGGCGGGATTGGGGCCTGTCCCTGGCTCTCAAAGCGGTCCCGGCTCAAGCCACAGCCCAAAACCAAGCCAACGCCATGGACCCAGCGGGACAGGCTGCTCTCTGATCTGATGCCAGGATGATGCTAGGATATGGTCAGGCTGTGGCCCGCTGTTGGAATCGGCCGCTGCTGGATGGACGGATGAGGCATAGTATGAACGACGAGGGTTCCCGATCGTGGAGGTCCAACTGTTTCTTGCCTATCCAAGAGGTGCCCAAGAAACGGCACATGCAAGCGCATTCGAGACGGCCTAGGCACAGCTGATTCGTCTCCCCGACTCGTTCCTGACTTCTGGCTCTAGTAGTGGTGGCATCTGGTCGACGGATAATCATGATCGGTCCTCACCTCTCCTCACCTTACCTCACCTCAACTCACCTGTACGTGCTTGGACTGAGACTGGCCAACATGGGCCAATCTGGGCGGGTCCGAGTTGAGAGATTGATGACTGACGAACTTTGCCAGGCGCATTCGGATAACCTCAACTTCTCAGGGATCGTCGTCGGCTCGGTGTTCAGGCTTCATTCATCTGACGAAATGTCACGTATGTGTCTGATACTGTTCACTTGCCTTCGTTGGATAGACGAAGGTCAACGCACCTTGACACTGCTCTTTTTGTGGTGGGCACAGACGACGGAAGCACGAGCGATACGTCCAGGAGGCTGACATCTGTTCATCTTGAATTGATCCTTTGATTCATGATTAAACTTTTCCCTGCTCGTGTGTACTCTCTTTTGTTTTCCAGTCTTATTTTCTCAAATTGTGGAATCGTGTCGGACTCGACTTGCTTTCAGCCGAAGGACTCGACTGACTTGGTTGCTGAGCTGCATATCTCATCTTGCTCCAGCTAAACAAGCCGACCGAGTGCGAGTTGCACGATGCACAGACTCTGCATTTACGGTTGGTCAAGGTTGTGGCGGCGCGCACTTGTGCAGAATCTGCGAGCTTTCTGGAGTTGCAGTGTCTGTACCCGGCTTGCTTGCGTTGTGCGATGCGGATGCGAGTCGACACGATACTCTACGCAGTGTGAAGCGCACCTGTCCCACGCCGACGCCGCAGACGTTCTCTGGCGAACCCTGCTCGGTACCCCTATGGACTCTTGCCGTTCCCGTTCACGTTCCTGGCCCAGTCCGCCTTCGGACTTACCAAGGAACGATAGACGGATGGACTGGCCGAGATGAAATCGGAGGGCATCAGGCCCGGCCTCGCTGGAAACGGCTGCATTACGCTGCCCACACAAGACCGGAATCATGGGTGTAAAAGTTGACGGAAGCAACAGTCATGCCATTAACACTTTCATCGCCCCGGGAGGCCCGTCTTGCCTGTGTTCAGCTGGCCGGGATGGGTAATCAGTGGAATGAGACCAGTTGGTGGGCGGACCGGCGATCATGCCGGGTGTGGTGTAAGAGGTGGCAACGATGAGGGGCCATACCCATTGATGAGGGATCCGTAAGCCTGAGGAGAAGAGGTATGGTAGGACACACCCAACACTCACGCCGTCAATCTTTCTCTCGGCCTGCAACATGGCCGTTGGATGGCGTGCCGCACTCTGGCCAGTGTGCGGTTGAATGCATCAACTTCTGGACTCAGGCGTAAAGAGATTTGCAATTCAGGGAGGCCAAAGGACGGGTCTGACCGTGAACAGGGACGTTGGTGGATGGGTGGAATGAATACCTCGGGACGAAAGACCGTTTTTGGTGGGGTTGGTCGGTTGATCGAAACAATCCGATCTCTAATAGCTCTCGGGGGGTCTTCTGTAAGGGTTGCTGCCATGTGCTCTGCCCATCAACCGTCAACTTTGGCATCTATTTACCTATCGGAACTTTGCTTGCTTGGCCCTGCCGAGGACTCTACGGGCAGTCACATTAGAGAAAACACAGTACAGCAAACGTCGTATTGGGAGAAAAAGATAGAAAAGTCGGAGTTCAGGTCCTGGAGAACCTGATTCGATGACGGCTGTTGGTGGCTTTGACATAGCTTCTGCCAGATGTGGACAGGCGGCAGTTTTTGACTCTCAAGAATGAGTGCTGACAGGTGATGGCAAGGTGGTGAATGGAGATAGGCTTGCTGTACCGCAGTCCGTGCTGCTGCAGCCCCCGAAGATAGGCCCTAAAAAGAGGTGGAAGTGCGCTAGGTACTCGTGCACAAGTTGACGTCGAGGTGAATTATGGGCGTTGTATATCCGTAGCTCGGGTGAGTAAGTAAGGTAGGTAGGTAGGTATCCGTACGTAAAGTACGGATACGAATATTAGTGGTTGAGTTCCAGGTCTAAGCCATTCGTGGATGTAGAGGAGTGATGGGAGTGCATGAATCAGACGTCGGGGCGGGTTTTGGTCTGTGGCGGGCTGGCAGGTCTCATCTCGCATTTTATTGGCCTGGTAGTTTTTGTCAGGAGCACGAATAGGGATGGCGTATCACTACAATGGGCATGGCGCCGTTGCACAATTGCAAATGATTCTTTGCTCTTCTCGGACGATACCGCAGGGGAACGGTTCCGGGCGGTAGAGCACGAGTTTATTGATAGGGTGAGGGTGTGCGTGTGCGTGTGCGTGTGTGAGTGTGTGTAAGAGACACAGAGAGAGACACAGAGACAGAAACAGAAAGGGATTGAGGAAAACGGTCCGACCAAAGGAACACCAAAGCGTTCGGCCAGACGTCAACGTCAATGTCAAACGTCAACGTCAACGTCAACGTCAACGTCAACATCAACCGGCCAGGTACTCCAGGGTCGCCAAGTGAGCCAAGCTCCACGGTTTGTGCTACGAAGCTACGAGATACTTGTCATGGAATACGGAAAGGGTAGGTAGGCATCGTTCTCTACCTTGGCTCTGAGACTCTTTGACTTGCGTCTTGGCCTCTCGTCCGTCTCTGAGGGACTGCACTTCAGGATTTGGCCTACCTATGTGCCTGCCATATCTATCCCCTGATGCCGCGGCTTAAGTAAGCTCAGAAAATGGCGTAACTGCGCGGTACGTATCCGTGTTCGCACAGGAGTTGTGCACCGACGCTTCGATTTACCTAGTACCTTACCTTACCTAGGTAACTTGTCTGGTAAATTGTATGTTGAGACTGACTTTGTGCCTGCCTCAAGACCCAGGACCCCAGAACCCTTCCTACCCCCGCATCCGCCAGTGTTCAACTTGTCCCGAGTCAACATAGGCACGTACCCTTGTTTTGAACACTACGCTCCATATCTCTTCAAAACGGGCGTATCCGTACGAATTTGGCGCTAATAGTGCGCCGGACTGGATTTGGCTTGCTTGCCTATCGCGCCGGAAATAGCATCGTCAAATGTTGTGTCCATCAGAGTCCCTCGGAGCATCGAGATGGTATTTGATGTGCACGGCAATTGCAACGCTGTTTTCAGGCGGCGGTCACGGATGCATCATCACGTCGTCTTGTCGGAGATTGACCCCATGGCTCAGCTGCGTGTCGCTGCTCTCAGAGAAGAGCCACAGCACAGCACAGCACAGCAGTCAAGACTCGTTTGGATGATCAGTCACGGTGGCACGGCAGGATTTGATATGCGGATTATCGGATCTCGGCCGTCTCCAGTCTCTGCTTCTGCAGCAGACCTTGCACCTCTGTGTCATGACTACTACTTGTGGTCAACAAAGGCACGGGATACCATCTACTAGATGGCCAGACCAACGCAAACCGGCACTCAAAAACGGCCCAGAACTACAAGGTGGTGATGGCAGTAGCTCGAGTTAGACAAACGTGCTGGGGCAAGCCAGTTACTAAGCCAAAGTATCCGTATCCATAGCACCTAGGCCATCGAGGAATGCCTAAGCTCGGGAAACCCCATTAGAAAGACGCTCAGAGAACCAAGATTGAAAGAGGAAAGGACGGTTCCTGACCCCGCTCGCATTGCCCGTGGACAGATGTTGCCTGCATCCTGAAGTGCCTTGTGTATTAGACTCCAGACGTCGAAGGCCATGACTACACGCAATTTGATGCTATGTCTCCGGGAATAGTGGCTTCAATGCCCCGGCTTCAGCGCGAGGGTATCCGCTCACTCCAAGCCACGCTTGCCACGGCGGATTTCCAGCCCTTGTTCAGAAAGTGAATGGGCCGCGAGGGCTGGACCAGGTGGATAGAACGAACAAGAGACGAGATATGTGTGGGATTCTCACAACGGGTACTAGCCATCGACCGTAGCACACAAGCTTCGTACCAAACACCAGACCATTGTCCCTTGAGCCAAGCTTTGCCTAGGCAAGGGGACCAGCGGGTGTCAGGGGCGGAGCGTATTGTCCGCGTCACTGTTCAGAGTGTGAACGGACTATTGGGCACAGGCAACCAGTCAGTCACCTTTGACTTGCTTTCGAAATGGGTAGGATAGCTGTATCTTTCATTTCAAACCGATGTGTCGCTGGTGACTTAATTCCAGAGAACAATGCTGAGGCTCAGGGGCTCAGGTCACCCGTCGTGCTTCACCCGCCCGCGAGGTACAACGCCAAGGCATGTAATAACGGTGATGTTCCGTTGATGATGGGACGAGCCATGTCAAATCATGACAAGCTTCCGGAGGGGGTCGAGACGGTAAACCGTAAAAGAGGGAAGAAATGGACGCGTCTGCCGTCTTTTTGGCTCCCGAGCATTGACCTAAGGTCCAGATCGTGAAACCAGGAATCGGATAGGGATGTTCATTGTCAGCAGAGACGGGTGAAGAGGTACATTTGTCCTTGGGCACCGTGGCCGTTTCCACAGATGACAGTACCTCCCAGATGGACGGTGCTGCGGCGCGCATTCGCATTCGCCGCAAGCTTCCAATAGCCGCCCTGGCGCTTCTACCACAAAACGTCACGGACTCACGGCGCCCACATGATGGGTGGGATGGGGCGAAAAGCGGCACGAGCAAATGCATGCCTGCGCACACGTGAATGCACACGCCCCGTTTCCATGACAAGATGCGCTGAGCTTGAGGTATCAACAAACCCTAAAGTCTTGCTGCGTTTCCGGGGTCCAGGGAGCGGTAGGGCCGAAGAGTTACGGACGATGCGGAGATGGGATGCTCATTGCTGGCACCTCAGGCTGTGCCCCGAGCTGCCGAGGCAAAGGAGGAAGATCAAATGCAAGCAGAAGAAGCAAGAAAAGAAACGAGAGATGAAGAAAAGAAAATGAAGAATGCAAATAGGATTTGAAATCGAGGTGCATATGCAAGGCGCAACTGCAATTGCAGACACGGACATTACCCGGCATACGGCGCTGCAGAGTCTATGTTTGCCCTTCATCCTCTATTGCGTACCTCAAAGGTAAGGTTAGGTGAGGTAGGTAGTTTGTTGTCTTATTTTCCCAACGCCTAATAGCGCAAAGCAGTGGGATAGGTATTCAGCAAACCAAAGTGTGAGGAGGTAGCCAAGAAAGCCAAGGACTGCATGTTTCTCCTTCACCGCGCCCTGCCTCATTCTCAATTCTCGTTCTCAGTGTACAAGTTGTGTCCGTACGGAGTGCGGAAGCATCAGCAAGGCAAGGTAAGAACAGAACGCGGTGAGGGTTAGCCTGTAAGGCACGCGAGAGTGCCAGGGAGGGGACGAATGAGTGTCTTGCAGCCGTGGTCGTGGCGTTTTCCTATTTTGTCTCTACTTGGCGAGAATGACATCTTGTCTTGTTGACGAATTCAAATCGGGGCAATTTCGAGGTCAGGTATCCTGCGTCCGGAGTAGAGTGCAAACGCCCAAACTTCAGCTGCACTCTGTCTGTATGGGTACTGGTAGTATGGCAGTGCATGCAGTAGGTATCCGTACGGTTGGAGCATCAGAGAGGGTAAAGTGAGCCTCTCGTGGGCCCAATCTGGACCAAAAGTAAGGCAGCAACGGGTGGGATTGAGAGGAGCAGCTTTCTTTTTCCATCGTCGACCGACATCTAAGAATCTTTGGCGTCGTTTCGGCGTGGTGGATGCTGAGTAAAAATACACACGTCAGTGCTGAGGTGACGGTTGGTAACAAGCATGGTGATGTCGGGTGGGTAAGATGAAAGTCACGAAGACAGTGGAGGATGAGTTTGCTACCTAGGTAAGGTAGGTGGGTAAGGTAGGCGAGTACGTATCCCCCGACCCCATCCAGCTGCAAGAACCACCTGCCGAATGTGGCCGGCAATGCGAGATCTGGTGAGAATCAAGGGTCTGATTGGCTATCGAGGCGAGGACTAGGTACATTGCCAGGTGCCCTGCCTTGGGGACGTGCACCGACATCAACGGCACGCCGCAACAGCCAAGGTGAGATAGGTACTTGACAAACACCCGGGGGATCCCTTGCCTTTCCCTGCCTTCTCTTCACGGGCAGAGCAGGGATGGAATACCGAGTAGGTACGGCGGCTGGTCTTAACAACGAAGGAGGTCGGCACCGTGGTCCGCAGCCCTGGGGCCTGGGCTGGATCCGTCCTATTTCCTCCTCTGCAGGGTTTATCATAGCTGGAGGTGCCTTGCAGAAGCACACTGCCAAATTCAATACCTACCTATCCTTGGTCTTGCTGCTCTCCGCTCACAGCAGGATATGGTAGAACGGGTGCGGACGCGGACTCGGAGACGGAAACAGATGATACTAGTACTCTGTGTACATAGTCTGCAGAATCTTCATTCTCTAATCTACCTTGGTCGGGTGACTGAGGTGTCCGTGGAGTCTACGGAATAGGGACGATGCTTTGCGCACTCCCCAAGTAACAAAAGTATGGACGAGTGTCTGCCAGAGTTTTGGGGTCAGTAAACACCGGAACTTTCCGTCATTTTGTATCGTCCCCTCTTACTCGGTCCGGATACAAATGCGAACTCGCCTTGTCGGGCTCAAGATGCCAAGGTGAGTAGGTGAAGAAGAAAAGACAATATTTGTGAGTTACCGATACAAAAGTAAGTACCTAGGTAGTGGAGTAATAGTCATTCCTTCCTCATAGCACCTCTGATCTTAGTGACCAGGGGTCGGCGTGTGGGCGGCAGGGTGCCATGGTGCCTCGAGCGTTTTGGTTGGCGTCCAAGGAAAGAAAGACAAGAAGGTCCTTGTGCGGATCGCCGGGAGGCTTACACACCTTCCTTCCTGTTGGGACCAACCAAAAGTCAGAGCCATCCTGCTGGGACCGCCCGAAAAGAACCAACGGCGGTTTCTTTCCCCGCGTGCCCGCCAACTCAAGCACCCAGGGCATTAGGTAAAGTGCCCTTATTGCCTGCCTTACCTTTACCTTCCTGAATGTACGGAGTAAGGCACATACCTAAGGTACGGAGCGCCTTACCTAAGGTAAGGCAGGTATCAGGTATATACCACCGACAGCGACCATAAGGTAGGTACCTACCTTACCTTATCTCATGAACTCTCTCGCCTTATCCAAAGTACCTTACATAGCAAGGTACCTTAGGTAACCTGAGGCATGGGCCACGTTAGTACGCACACCTATCTGCAAGTGAGGTGATACGGCATCTGCAGGACAGCACCGTCCGAAGCGTTGAACCATAACATGGGGACTGCACCACCACCTACGCATCGCACCACAAATAACGAGGCCAGAAATCAATCACTAGGTAATGAGGCACCTTATAGCGCTCATCCAGCTTTCCTGATCCCACTCGACCTTCACTCATCCTCCATTCCCTCCCTTCACTATCTTCCCGATCAAGGGCTAGGTAAGGATGAGGAAGTAACATCACGTTGATACACGACAATCGTTACAACAAGTGCAAAGGCCGGCTGTCTCTCTAGTTTCCGCATCGCCCGACCCTGCCATTATTCCGCCCAAGTATGGACCGTCGGTTCCACCCGTGTCTCCTTTGCACGCCACCCTGGGCCTGTATCTCCTACGATAGTGTCATGTTGCCCAAGGGCGGTGGCAGGCAACCAGCATCAGCTATAGAGGAGCAGGGGGGCTCACGAGATACGAAAGCCCAATCCGTCAATGTTTCTTTCCTGGCGCGGCAATATGGCATCCGGAGATAGCGTCACTCACCCATTCACTACCTTACCCTCATTGTCGATGCTGTGGAGTCAGGATTCCCACACGAGGCTATGTCTCGATCTTTACACTTTTACTTTTCATTGTTCTTGTCAACGACTCTACTGGGCCAGGCCAAGACCCAACATCCAAGCCCAGCCTCCTGGACCCGAGGATCACTGCTTGCTGCCGATAAGAAGGATCTTACAGACAACAGCCCGTCACACTACGCACGTACTTCACGCCGCGTCTGGTTATGGCTCCTCCCATCTTGTTGAGCCACTGCTAGACTGCTAGGAAAGCTGCCGCATGCGGACACAACATTTCCTAGCCCTTCGAAACGCTGCCATGGTCGCCGCCTCTGGCCTACGCCCGTTGTCGGCAACTGCCAGGCGTACTGTAAACAGTCATCGACATCATCAATACCTCGACGCATGCGGAAGCACTGGGAAACACCTGGGCGAGTATCAACATCTGGGACTTGACCCATCGCGGCTTAGCCGGCCCCCAGCAACGGCCTACAAAGGATTCTCCAGACCACGAGGCACCAAGCTCCTTCTCTGCCACAACGCCTAGTCCTACCGCAAGCCGGCTGTAGGGTAGCCAGACCCCAGTCCAAATCACTCAAGCCCCAGTTCAATCCTAACCAAACGATTGGGACCGCGGCTGGCATGGGTCTTGGGGCCGCGGGATGGACCATGATTCACAAAGCATGCAGCTATTCGCATTCCTTGCACGCAATATTCCTACGAAGACGGATATTGACGCGAATACACGCCCTCGTCACAGGGAGCCCACTTCAGGCACCTTGCATGAGACTTGCATGAATGGCGTCTCGTACTTGGGTGGTCTTCCTCCTGAACCAGGGCCGACGTGAACGAGACCGACTGACGAGAGAACCCGATCGCAGATGACGGAGGGAAAATACAAGCGCCAAATCGTAAATCGCGGCAGACGAAAAAGAAATAGAATCCATTTGACAAGGTAGTGCTCGACAAACGAGCGATACATAGCTTGTTTGTCCGTGTTTATGGGTGCACCCCCATGGCATCGTAACGAACCTATGGCTACCTCACCACACTCGCGGTTACGTCCGTCGACAGGTCTGGTCTCCGCAACGGGATGCTAGGGGGTGGCATGGCTTGCGTCCGTAACTATGGATCCAGACCTTCCACTAACGACAAGCAGCACACCCCCATTCCACGAGAAATTGTCATACCGTGGTACCCGACAGTGCGCCCCCGCTACCGGGTCGACGCTAACTCTGGTACAGGTAGTGTAGACGCTTGCCGACCTGCTTGGGCTGGACGCCGTGGCTGCCTGCCCAACTCCTCGTTCCCATTCCTCTGGGACCTAAGCCCCCAGGTCCGGATGTTTAGCTCGAGGGGTGTTCAACGGCGAAGGGATGATGGCGCCGTCATCCACCATCTCCTCCCATCATATCAATGTTGCCGGATACTGTCAGCGGTGCTTCGTCATAATCCCTAGCTCCTGGCTCCTACCCTTATCCAGCCGCGTCGTGTCTGTCGCATATTGGCAAATTGAGGGATCACATAACGTTTCTTTGTCGAATGACTGATGCTGCTTCGTGGGGAGGGACCAAACGATGAGGAACTATTGCACTTGTGAGGTTGAAAACCCGATCATGCATGATATGTGTCGGCGAGATCTACAACGGAACGAGCCCTTGGGAAATCGGATGTCTGAGTTACCTAGGTAGTATGGGATGGCAGCTTTCACGCCTATGGCCACGGCAAAACGAAGAATCGGGACGGATTAGACAGATCGGCTTCAACTGCCGACTGGCTCGCGCTGTATTGAAAGGACGAACGACTCTGCCTCCGCCGATGCTGGAGCGTGTTCCGGGACATTTGTGCCCAAAGTGGTATCTCGTCCGACGCCATAATCGGCGGCGTTGGGCCCGGCCGGGGCCAGCAGCATATCCTTTGGCAA